ATTTTACCCACTATTAGCTTAATGATAAAAATGTTCATGTACTGGCAGTAAGTAATTGAGCCTTAGTAATCACAACAGAATGCTGATTTGCCAATGAAAATGGATGCTAGGTTTAAATAAGTGAGATATATTTGCCATTCTCTTGACTAGGGAGATCTGGCTATTATGGTTCTTTTAGCTGAAGTGAATGGAAGACTCTTAAAACTAGACTAAAATGAGGTTTTTGGCTTTTCTCCCATATTCAGTAAGGAGTTGCATGGTCTCTGGGTTAGTTGACTGAGGGACTCAGCAATGTCTCAAGAAAAGTGTTGGTCATTTTTGACACATAACGTAGTGTCTTCCCCTGGGAACCCAAAATGTTTGCTTGTAATTCCAGAAATTCCAAGTAGGTATAACAATATTTGGGAAAAAAAGTTTCTCCTTATCTATTTTAATATTTAGGCAATGCCATTCTCAAATCCCAGCTAATGTACTTTCCCTCCATACCCATTGGCCAGTACCCACATGGTAAGCATGACCATATCTGACTGTCATTGACCAGACTACTCTTGTTATCTTGAATTAATAAACGCTTTATTCCCTGAGGTGAGGGAAGGGTCACCTTCAACTGAACAGTAAGGCAGTCTCTTTCTGCAATCAGAGTGTAGAGTGTTTTCACAGGGTAAGTCACCAGAAACACTGCATTCTTCAAAACAACAACAACCACCACCTCTACCAGATTCTGAGTCACACACAGAATCCAGACTCTGTTAGAAACTGGTGATGGGTGATGATACGAAATGCTGGCCCTTATCACTTGTTGGGAGAATTTCATGGCAGAGGAAAGAAAGCTGTACAAGACAGGGAGCAGAGACGCACGAGTGAAGGGGTGAATGGGATGGCTCAGTGTCGTTGACCATGACTTTCCTTTTAATATTTAGTCGATTTTCTTGAATAAAGGTTTACTCATTTGTAGTACATCTTTGGACAATTTGCAGACAATATTCAAAGTTGTGCTGCTTCTACGTTTGATCAGTTATGAGTCTCTTCGAACTGTGAAGAAGTTCTTTGGAACTCTTCAATCCATTGTAAGAGAAATGAGCTCCTCCGGCAGTTTTTTAACTAGCACTATAGTATTTATAGAAGACTTTTGTTCCACATCACACCAAGATTCGGTTTCCCTGCTCAAAACCTAATTTCTACACAGTAATGGAATGTTTGCTTTCAAAAATGCCCATATCTTTGAAAGGTTGTGTTCTTTTTCAGAAGAGCGAATTTCTATGCTGACACGATCATAATGCAGTTCTGTAACTTCTGAGCGCACGACCTTCTTATCTCCAATTTTCTAGCTTGTCTTTGCCATTTCATTATCGGAGAGCCAGCCTCATTCCCACAAGTGTGTGTGACCGAGGCCTGAAAATCATTCCTGCCCTCTCCTTCTCATTTTGACTTTTGTTTCCAAATCAAAGAGCGATCCAGCAGCACAATGAAATGCGCCCTGCTACCTGGGTTGCCTCAAGACAAATTTGCTTGTGAATGGATGGTGAATCTGCAGAATTATCTTCTTTTTTTTTTCTTACTCATCCTTTACTTATTATACACCAAGAACCAAAAGGAGAAAAAGGGTCTTTAGCACAAGTTTTTCAAATGCTATGGACATGGTCTAGGTCTTTATGGTTGGGATTGTCACAGATGGTCCTCACCACATCCTTTTCAAGCACTTAGTTCCACGAATAATACTGTCCCCTATCTTTCACCCCAGTTGGCCTCAGTTGGAATTTTCCTTGGCTCCAGTACACACTCAGTGTATTCTTGCTTCAGCATAATAATCCCTTCTGACTTCTAGTGTCCAGAGCCACCACTCTCTTTCTCATTCCTCACTACACCACAGTTACTACTCACAGTTCCCTACTCCATGGCCACCACACTCCCTCTCTTCTGGACAAAATCTTGATGAAATCTGCAGGAATAGCCTGATAGAATCGATTGCTCAAGTTTCCCGTGATCTTGTCAACTTCAATTCCTCAACCCTTGGTTACTTCTCCCCTCCCAAGTCTCATGTATTCAGTCTTACTCTTCCTGTTTGCTTAGGGAGTTCTCATTTTCCATTTTTGACGACACTGGCCAAATAACTTCTCTTCTTCCCCAGTTCTCTAAAAGTTTCACTCTTACACTTTCATTTATTGTCTCTACACAGAAGATTTTAGGAAAATCATGATATTACATGCTGATGCTATGGCTGGTGCTTTGTATCTTGTCTCATTTAATTTTCAATCAGTTCCTTATCAGTCCTGTTTTACTTTGAGACATTTGAAGCCCAGATCAACTTAGTGATATGCACAATGGAAATGCCTAGATTTTAATTCAATACTCTGAGTCCTGCACAAGGATTCTTCACCATTATGCCCTAACACCCATCAAAATTGGGTTCTTGGGGCCAGGATTATGGTGCAACAGTTTAAGTTAACACCTGTATAGTAGCCTCTTAAATCAGAGTGCCAATTTTTAAAATTCATTTGAAAGGCAAAGTTGCGGAGAAAGCAAGGAAGATTCACACACACCCCAAATGGGCCCATAGCCAAGGCTAGATCAGGCTGAAGCCAGGAACCCAGAGCTTCATCTGGATTTCCCACAAGGGTGCAGGTGTCCAATGACTTGAGTCATCTTCCATTGCTTTCCCAGGTGTAATATCAGAGAGCTGTATGGCAAACTGGAACTGCAGGAAGTGAAAGCAGCACCCATTTGGGGTTCCAATATTGCAGGCAGTGCCTTAACCCATTGAGCCACAATGCTCCCCGCCCACCTCCACCTTCCCCAGAGCACCAGTTTGAGTCTCAATTGTTCCACTTCTGATCAGTGTCTCTGCTCATATGCTACGCAAGACAGTGGAAGATGGACCTCCCACACATGTGAGATCCAGATGGAGTTGCAGGCTGATGACTTTGTCCTGGCCCAGCCCTATCCATGCAGCCACTTGGGCAGTGAACCAACTAGTGGCAGATCTCTTCATGTTTTGTTCCTCCCCCTAACTGTGTCACTCTGCCTCTCAAATACATACAATAAATCTTTAAAATAGTTTGTTCCAACTCAACCTTTTTTCTGGAAACCACTCATAAATGCTTAATGGGATAGGTCCTTCCTTCTGTGTCACTACTGTGACATTTACATTTTGCTCTATTTTGTGTCCATTTGCACCAATCTTGGCCCAATACACCACACACTCCCTTGCATGATCTATTCCAGGAGAAACAGACTCCGCTTTTATCTAGGTTAGCGAGCTCCGTCATCCACCAGACCTCCAGGACTGATGGAAGGACACCTGGCACACAGGCTGTTCATGTAGCGTATGATCATGATTCCATACGCAACGAAGAGCATAACTTCTCTCATTCACTTTTCATTCACTGCCTCAGATAAAGTAATACTCTCTCGTTTTCATTAATCAAATCATCAGATAGTGTTGAGAGAAGCCAAATTAGACAGGAGCCAACACTAGCATCTATTTCATGACTAACTCACACAGAGATTCCAGGAATGCTGCCTCTGAAACAACACAGAGGAAAGAAGGACTGGAAGGCTTTCTGCTCTGGAAGTCTCTGTTAGATGTGGTCATTATAAACACTGTGGGAAAAACCCGCACAACTCTTTAGACTTGCCTTTACATAATTCTAAATAAGCTTAATCAACACATGAAATATTAGTACACATTTCACAATTTCTTGTAAATCACTAAAAGTTGCATATTCCAAGTAGTCAAAGCACTTTTTATGTGTCATATGGTTGGGTAATGTTGAATTGGAGAAGTGATATACGTCTACATAATGAAACAATGCGTGCATGCATTTAGTATTTTAAGAACTGAAGCTTAATTAAATCTTTGCATTAGAAATAATCTCTTTACTAATTCACTGAATAAATCTTGAGGTGCCATGTGCCGATCATACAATAATCAACATGATTTGGTCCTAAAATTCTATGTTCCCATTGAAATCATTCTACTTAAAATAAAGGGGAAAGTTTTAAATTATTTATCACGAAAAATTTCAAGCACACAAAGGAATAGAAAAATAATATAATGAAAAATCCAAATAATCACCATCTAGATTCAATACTTATCATTTTTGTACAGTTGTTTCCAAGTTTATATGCAATTTTGACAAAACATCTGAAATAAAATTACAACTCTCATAGTACCTTGTCCCTTAATACTTCATTATGGCTGCAAAAATCATATCTGTAAAATAGTCTCATTCTTAAAAAAACGCAATGATTCCTTAATAATCTATATTTGTAGTCCTCAGTTCAACTTACAGTTGTGTAAAATATATCGTTTCTCCTGCTTTCTCGTGTGAATTTTTTAAAAGTCTAGATCTACTGAAGGAACACTCACTGCTTGGCTGCTGTTCTTAAATTCCCCTGTCTAGCCTTCTTCTCCTTTGTGGTAATTCACCTTTTGAAAAGACAAGGCTAACTGCCATGAAGAAAAATCTCACATTGTCTGGTTGTTTTCTTGTGCATTCATTGACCATGCTCCTCTCTTTTGATATTTTGTATAAAATGGAAATTAGATGTAAAAGCTTGACTATGTTAAATACTGCACAGGTGATGCTGAGTATTGTATGTTACATCATGATAACAAAGTAGAATGACTAGTTGTTCCACCGTTTGCAAAACAATTTGCTAACTCGACTAATTGGGTTAATGAAGTGATATTTGCAATTAGGGAGTGAGCCAAGGAGCTGGACTTTGGCATGCTACAAAACCATATTAACTGCAACTAATGGCTTGAAGATGTGCTATGAATTTTTGCTTAAAACTATTCTCTGGTAAGGGGTTATAAAATAAAATCTGCAAGTCTGATTAGTCTCTTCAATGACTGATTTTGATTTTCTTTTTCAGCAGTAGTTCCTCACCTTAAATGTATTCTTGGAAATTGAAAAATTTGTAAGTCCAAAATTCTAAGTATCATGAGACATTGGCAAGGGAAGGTACTAACCTTGGATATTCTTTTGTGTTTTCAGCAAAATGGGAAGCCACATATGCATGCAGACATGGAGGACTTCTTTGAAGAAGCACCTCTTCATGTTATGGTGTTCACGTACATGGGCTATGGAATTGGAACCCTGTTTGGTTATCTTAGAGACTTTTTGAGAAATTGGGGAATAGAAAAATGCAATGCAGCCGTGGAGCGGGAAGAACAAAAGGTATGTATGTGTACAGATCCTGAAAAAATGACATATTCAGGACGAACCCCATCCATCTTTGCCTCTACCTTCTCTCCTTTCAAAGTAGAGAACTGTTCTTTAACAGGCATCTGTTGGGCAGCTACTCCTGGTCATATCCTGAATTAAGGATTTTTCCCACAAATCATAATATTTAATTTTTGTAACAATTCAAGGACATGAATGGATAAGTACAATTAGAAAAAAACAAAGACATCAAAATAAGCATATAAACACCCCAGTGGGACAACCCTCCAGTTTTCTAGTTGAACTGAATATTATGTATGCTCTGTCCTGAAATACAAAAGGGTGTTTGGGTGAAATAAGTCACTTTCATTTCAGCTATGTCAGTTTCTCAGCTTTGGCACTACTGGTATTTTAGACTGGATAATTCAGTGTGGGAGGCTGCACTGTACATTGCAGGCATTTTCACAGCGTCTCTGAATTCTATACATTAGATTAACCATTACCAATAATACACACTTGTAATGATCAAAACTTCCTTCAAACACTGCAAAATATCTTGTAGGTGCAAAATCGACCATAATCAGAATCACTGAGCCAGGTATAATTAGCCTAAGAAAGGATACATCATCTCTTTTTGCATAGAACTAGAGGACAACATAGAAAATAATTAGAGATCTATGAAGAATCTGAATTATGGTATTATATTTCCCCCAATTAATTAAAAGGATTTATGATGTCATGAAATACTGCCTTTGGGATGAATGAATGTGCATGGACCGTTCCGCATGGTTAAAGTCTTGAACACACAAACACATAGGTGATGCACAAGTAATATGATGAGAAACCCTCAAATCATGTAACTTAGTAACTAGTATCCACAGTAAGACAAGCATTTGTTATTGTGATGCAACCATAAAAGAAAGTTGTTTGAAACACAGATGCACAGAGAGAGAGAGAGAGAGAGAGAGAGAGAGAGAGAGAGAGATTGCTTGTCTGGTAGTCTGGTAGTTCTTTCTCCAAAAGCCCACAATAGCCAGTGGTTGGCAAAGTTGGAGCCAGGAATTGGGAACTCAGTGTAGCCAGGTGGGTGAGAGGAACTCAATGACTTCAGGGACCAGCTGCTGTCTCCCAGTTGGAACAGTGAAAGCAGAACCAGGATTCAAACCCAAGTGCCCTGATAAGAGATGTGGGCAATCCAACCCCAATGCCAGTCATTTGCAACATCTCTTTTCAAATTGTCTTAAGTCAAGTGCATTTGAGTATATGCTATATACTAATTGATGCTAATATTCATAACAGAAAAGGCAGGTCCTGCCATCAGGAAACTTGAAGCCTGCTATGCAAACGACTTTACAGCAAATCCTATGCTAATTTTTTTTATGGTCAGGAGGAGGGTGATGTGGGCCACAGGTTTCAATGCCTTATACTCGTTCTAGGAGTCAGGAAGTCATGGTGCTAAAGTGTGAGCCACGGTAAGCGAGAGTTGGTTAAACAAGAAAGGTTGCAAAGGAGAACATTTTCCAAGCCAATCACTGCTTGTGCAAAGGAATATGTTAATTAATTAGTAACGGGGGATCACTTTTGAGTGTATATTTTGTGCCACACACCATGCAACCAACTGTGGAAATCAGAATAACCATGGTAGACACAGTACCTGCCCTCAGAGAACCAGCCATGAGAAAGCAAGAAATGTGAAAGTGGTATAATACAGGTAAGTGAGAGCAAAGGGAAACTCCATCTTGAATTTGGCATTCAGGGAATGCTTCTGGGAGGAAGAGAAAGTTAAAATGAGAGCTAAAGGGTAATAATTTAGCAGTAAGTCCAACAGCGAGCCAAGATAGGGGAGGGAGTCTTTTGGGAGATGGTGCAAAGGTGAGAGAAAGTGTTATACATTCAAGAAAGAAAAAAGGATTCCAATGATCAGAGTGTTGGGAGTGAGTGGGAGTGTGTAGGGAGGAAAACTATTTGAGAGGCATTGGGGTCAGACTATAATGGGTTTTTATAAGCCATGAACATTGACCGTAAGAACAATGAAAATGCATTGAAAGACTTCAGGCAGAGGAATGCCTATTTACAGTTTAAAAAGATAATTCTCTGGTCTATAAAAAAAATGGATTGTAGGAATGCAGCAAAGAGAAGAAAATATGAAGAGGCTGGTGTAGAAATGTAGTTTAGACACATCTAGGTGAGTTAGTTTAGCTGGAAGCAGTGTGGAGAGCATAGAAGTAGTTACAGGGCATAAGGCCACAGGATGGCTAAGAGCTGAAGATAGAAACAATTGCTTCAGCTTGGGAAATTCAGAAGATGGAGAAAGAATAGGCCATCTCCAGGTTTCTGATCTAAGCAGCTGGGTGCAAGGTAGAATCACTCATGGAGATGAGAAAAAGATGAGAGAGATTGGAGGAGGGGACACTGGGAAGTTCTCTTTTTGGCAAATTGATTCTAAATAATTCACAGCTGAAGATGGAGCTCTGGACCCCCAGAGCCAAGTCCGCAATGGCTGCCATGACAGCTGTCACCTGGCTCCAACCTATGGAGCTGAATTCAGGCCCAAGAAATGGCATGTGAGTTCTCCCAGGGAGGACAGAAAGAAAAAAAACATGAGAAGATGGGAAAAGAAGAAATAATACTGGGGAATTTAATAGGCATCAGAAGTCACAATAAAGATCATTTACAAAAATGTAGGGAGCAGATCATCCCATCATGGCCCAGGTAATACACAGAGAGCTATAAGCTTGCCATGCTCTGGCAGCTTGAGCACGGGTACTTTAGTCCTAAATGATGGTCTAGGGCTAACATCATTGTTCCTTAACACTGGTCCCTATTGCTGCAAGAAGGACTTGCATCACCCCCACAGGGAGATGTTTACATTAAATCAGTATCTTTCATTTTCTTTGCAAAATGTATGCTTTACACCCTCTTTGATCTTCAGAGGTGGAGACCCTCAGTCAACAGACTCAGCATGGTATTTAGATCTGTATATGATACGCTTTTAGTGAGTATTATTTGTTTCATGTGAGCCCTTTTAAAAATTTAGAACCTTCGGTGGGTTCAAACTGCTACTGTTATGGAGGGAGGTGAGACTTGCTCACTCATGTCTACAGACGGACTCTTTATCCACTTACTGGGACTTGCACTTCCTTCTGACTGCACCTTTGCTTTTTATCAATGCATTGTCTGAGATCCTCGGGAAGTCTCGTGCTCCAAACCTGGAATATGCTATTTTCCAGTGATCTCTATTTCTTTGGATATTCTCCAGAAATGAGCATGCTTTCATGCAAAAAGTTGGTATATGCAGGTGCAGAATAAATGGCCCCACAAGATGAACCAGCAGAATGATACCAGAAAAGAAAATGCACTCATGAATCAGTGTCAGGGAACAAATATGGTTTCCTTTAAAGATAATAAGTGGATTTTCTTTCCATTTTGTTATTAATCAAGTGAAAAAAAATCAAAACACCTCTCTAAGAGAACACGGAAAGAAGTCACAGGTCCAGGGTACCTATCTAGGCAGACAGATTCCACTAGCAATAAGTTTACATTATCAACGAGAAAGAAAAAAAAAAAAACAATACTGATAGATACAAGCTTTAACTGTTTTGCCTAAATTCTCCATTTGGGGGCTTATAATGGCCCCTGTAGAGTGGAGCCACACTCAAAGACCTCCAAGGATTCAATTGTTCAATTCTGAAAACATTTGAAGGGAATGTCAGCAAGCATGATCAATCAATGGTAAGCATTCTCAGAAATGTTACAGGTTTGAAGCACAGTTCATTCCACAGATCCATGCTTCTCCAATATTAAACAGGTTCAGTGAGACCCAAGCGTGCCACACCACTGATGTGGCTCAATATTAGAGCCTGGTGGTGGACCAAGCATTGATTTTCTGCCTGGACATACATGGGGCCAAACTCAGAAAGCTTCACTTGGGTATCCCTTAAGTACTGAACATGTCATCCAGCAGCACAGGAGGGGCTGAGTTAGTTAGATCAGTGTGTCACACCTCTGTTATTCACTGAATCACTGAGAAGAGGATTTTCTTCTTCTTTTTTAAAATTTTATTTTCTTTTTTAATTTTTGATAATGTTTACAAAGTTGACCAGCGTGGGAAAGGTAGATTTCTAGGGGAGTGTGGATGAGACATTGTTTCCAAATCTTCCCCCACTTCCTCTTGTATCTGGGGGAAGAGAAAAACCTAGGGGAGAAGCTGCACCCAGCCTCCTCGCTGCCCCAGTACCCGAGGATGAGGAATGGCCATCCAATGTCATCCTAGGGTCCCTGATTGGGGCTTGTTCCAAGGGTTCTGCTCAAGTGGATTAGAGTTCTAAAATGCTGTTGATCTCACTGATCCAAGGATGGAGAAGTCCTTTCATGGCCCATCTGCTGACACAGTCCATCCCAGAGTCTCCATTCACCCAGATATTTGCTGTCAATGCTTTGCTGGAGTAGTTGAGCAATCTCTTCTGCTCTCCTTCCTCTGCCATGTTACCAGATGTCCTCTGCAGGTCCCATGGACTACCATATCCTCCATGTGCATCTGGGCATGCCGCCCACTGCTCTAAGACATTGAGGAGGCAGTTCTGACTCATGCACTCCACGGTCAGATCACAGATCTTGCTATTTTTCCCATGGTTGGAGTTCTGAGTTTAGTGGTTCAGTTGGAGGGATCCCCACTTCTGTTTGAGGCGATGCTAGGCCTGACTCTTGTGTGTGTTTGCCACTACGGGTTCTGACTCAATCTGTCACCCATGTCAGCCTACACACACACATACACTGGCAGCTGCAACTTCTGAGTCAGTTCTATCTTCAGGCTCATCTTATGTAAACCAATGGGTGCTGTGGCCCAGCCCAACCCTGCCCACCATCGACTTGACTCTCAGTCGGTTCACCAGTGGGAACTGTAGCCTTAGAAGATTTAAACGATACAAATGTCTGGGCTTTAGCTACAGTTAACCTGATTCAACTGTTCTTTGTTTTTGCTGTTGCCTCTGTAGTATGGTGTTTTTGTTTGTTTC